ACACTTCTGTCCAATCATTAGTGATCCCCCATGGAGATTTCGGGTTAAGATGTAGTTCCCCAGCAGGACATGTTGGCCATTGAAGGCAACCAAATGGATGGGGTGGTCAGTCTCCATGAATGAGTATGATTGTACCCCAACAGTGTGGATCATTGCTCACAATATCAATCACTGAATTGTCCAGTCCTAACTATTTACAGGCCACCATTACATGCTTGGAATAGTGCTGAATGCAGCATTGAAGAACAAGAAATTAGTCTGTTCTGTCCGTCTGGTCCATTTGTCAGGCCTCATTGTTTGAAGAGGTTTACAGTGTTGGGGGACACTAGATGAGCTTGTCACACCATCAGGGTAAGTTGACCAATGGTTTTGTTCATCAGTGACTGTCTGGATTGGATTGGTCATCAATGTATTGCCCTCCCAGGACACTTGCATTGTGCAGTCAGTCTGGGTTAGAGGCATTGATGTGCCCTACAGACCAGTGTGGCATCATAGTCATCCCTTCATCAATCTGACTGACTGATGTAATGCATCTACTCATGCTATTTGAGGACAGGTATGGCAAATTGACAATCAGTGTTCTGTCGGAGGGTAGGCGTGTGGTGTAGGTGAAGCCATGATTCACCGTCATGACATTGTGTTTCCTTCCTGCTTGAAGATGATATGAAGCCAGTACATGTATAGGGAGTGAGAATGTGTTGTCGGGTGAGAGTGATTTGGTAACCAGTCTCAGATGGTAATTTAAGCAGAATATTCTCATTACATTCAAACTGTAATATGCACGTACCTCATGTCGACACATTGAAATATTGGCATCAGCCAGAAAATTATATTCGTTTCTGCCTGCAAATAACCACGCTGGTTCGTGATTAGTATTCTTTCAAAATGTTAATTCAATCTTACAATTCTCTTTATTCCAGGTTATGAATATTAACCCTGACCTTTGAAAAAACTACGTTGATCCTAGTATGATGTTGTGTGTGAGATTACAGGGGCCTGACACAAGTGCTTTGACAATGGGCATCAGTCTTCCTTGAAAGCTAGGGCCTCAGCAGGTTGACATTTGCTGCTATAGGATCTGAAATTTCAAAATAGTCTGATATGGCTTCTCTCTTTGGTTGAAAACATCTTTCTTTTTTTCATATCCAAAATGTCATATGTTGTTTGCTGGTTGATGCCCGACATGTACTACTCAACATTTGCAACAAAGCTGCAGTCCAAGAGAGTTTCAGGATTGTCATCAGTCAATGTAGATAATCTACACAGCATTCAGCCACATCTTTAACTAATCATGTGCACTACTCAACATTTGCAACAAAGCAGCAGTCCAAGAGAGTTTCAGGATTGTCATCAGTCAATGTAGATAATCTACACAGCATTCAGCCACATCTTTAACTAACCATGTGCACTACTCAACATTTGCAACAAAGCTGCAGTCCAAGAGAGTTTCAGGATTGTCATCAGTCAATGTAGATAATCTACACAGCATTCAGCCACATCTTTAACTAACCATGTGCACTACTCAACATTTGCAACAAAGCTGCAGTCCAAGGGAGTTTCAGGATTGTCATCAGTCAATGTAGATAATCTACACAGCATTCATACACATCTTTAACTAATCATGTGCACTACTCAACATTTGCAACAAAGCTGCAGTCCAAGAGAGTTTCAGGATTGTCATCAGTCAATGTAGATAATCTACACAGCATTCATACACATCTTTAACTAACCATGTGCACTACTCAACATTTGCAACAAAGCTGCAACTTTGCAACTCAACATTTGCTGAGGACCAAAATAGTCAATAGTATTGTATTGTTGTTTACAGTAATGAGGCCCAGTATACAGTCTTGCTTGACAATGGTATAAGATCTATACCAAAACATCACCTTTACAGTACCGTATTAAAGAAGTTGTTATCCATATATTGTGTTAACTTTGTCATCCTTCAACTTCTAAGTAACAAATTCAAACAATTCAAGTATATACTCACACATACATATACATCTTTGAAAGAAAGCGCCAAAATGTTTGCCTTATGATGTACAATAGTGGACAGTACAACTACTTAGGATAATTAATGACATCTTTAAAAAATCTATTGCGTTTCTCAAGTCCTAAGAAAATATTTTTGACTAGACTGTTAAGTGAAGGCGGATTTGAGCTTGAGAACAGCATCTTAAGTTTTTGCTGGTTTGGATGGACACAATAATACTTTGGTAAAATTCTGTCTCTTAAATCTGCTTAAAATGGACATTGGGGGCAGAAATGGTATTCTGATTCTGCTGTTAATACTATGCAAAATGGACATAATTTTAAATTTCTGTTAATATTGTACTGTTGACCTATTCCTATCATTAAAGTACTGTATGAATAGAGCATCTAAATTTGGCTAAAGCTTTAAGATAGATCATATTGTGAATACAAAAAATATAATCTTCCAAACCATATTATATTTTAACATGTTTGTAAAAGTCTAACTTTGAGGAAGCTGTGATATTATCATTCGATATCTGTACATAAATATCTTTACAGTGTTTTACAAATTGGTCAATAAATAAATCAACATAGCCAACACCTTGATGGAGCCAAACTTCTTCCAAACCATGCTTATATAACAAGTTTTTTATATCCTAAGCCCAGCATGAATGAACTCCAAGCGGTACGCTTGCTTAAGAATAATATTTGATTTTTGGCTCAGCAATCGCAACCAATAAGGTTTTAATATCAAAGATATGAAGCTGTATACTTACAGGAAGTTTTTGAAACATAAAAGATTTACATTGTAAATGTAGTCCAAGGTGTGGTCCTTATCTAACCATGCACACAACTCAACACATGTGGTAAATGAAGCAATGAATGGTTGTGGTGTTTTCTTCAGAAATGAAAAGGCGTCTCAGCTTTACACTGCAGAAACATAACCTACTGCATGATCAAACCTCACTGTTTCTTGGGACAGGGGATTAACCAGACCTGTTCCCCGTTTCACAGAGTGACCATTCTAAGTGCTATGACTGGCATAACTCCATCACTTTAACATGACTTGTGACAGACATATAGCTACTATTGTTTTGTGGAAGGGGTCTAGTGGTAGAGCGTCCGCCCGGAGAGCGGAAGGTCCGGGGTTCGATCCCCGGCCGCTTCTTACCAAAAAACGTTAAAAGATGGTACTTGTTGTTACCCTGTCTGGCGCTCAGCATTAAGGGGCTTGGAGTCAGTATACTGTGTCTGAGTGGGGTATTCATGTTAAACTGCGGCATGGTATCTCAGTGATCTAGCACTATAAATCGGCATCAGTCCGGACTAGTACAAGCAGCCACACAAACACACACACGTACATGCACGTTGCTATATAAGTGCAATAATCTTGGACGCGACGTTAAACCCCATTTCACCTCACTTGTGGAATGGGCTCCTCAGCTCAGAGGCCACTCGGGTCCCAAATCTGAAGCAGATGTAAGTAAAAATTATTAAATTGGAATTAAAATTTCCAGTTCATGCTATCCTAGTTCTAACTAGTGTAATGACTTTGTAGAAGTGACTTGTTTTGCACTGGTAAAATGATGAATATAAAGGAAGCACTTTTATCCTTGGTTTTACTTTATTCCATTGCTTGCATTGTTAAACTACAGTGTTAAGACTCCAATGAATTTAGGAAAACAGGAATTTTAGAAAAAGTCATATTGGAACAAACTAGTGATTTATTCCTAATTTGCCTGCCAAGGGGTCTTAGTTTAGAATCCTAAATAAGTCCATGTACTCTATATATGCACTGTCTACAGATGGGAGTTACGTTCACACAGGAATACTGCCTGTACGCTGAGACTTATGATTAGACATATCTTAGATGATGATGATGGTCTGTCTCCCTGGATCTCCCAGCCGTCAATATTGGAATCTCTGGTCGTTGACCTTAATGAGGCTAATAGTGTGGCAATGGATATGTTGGTGTCTGCATCTGTATTATCATTGATAAGATTGAAGACGTTTACTTGCAATATATTACCCGAGGACCTGAAGATGCTGCAGCGCACGTCTATTAATTGGCTGTATCTTGGAGACACTGCAGTGGTATATAGAGATTATTAAAAAGCATGTGTGTCATACTGGTTTTGCGATACAAGTGTCAGAATTCTTGTATTTCACAAGCAAGAGCAGGGTAAAACATGAATTCTGACACTCTGTTTGTAAAACGAAGATGACACACATGTGAGTGCAATAATTTCTTTATTACCCTTTATTTCTTAATCCTTTTGAGCTGCATCGATGTCCTAGAAGACTAGAATTGGTCGAATGACGTCAACAATCTTCAGCTATGACTTTGTTTGTAGTGTGAAGTCATTCAGACCTCGCGTCACAATGAGATTCAAATGACGTCAACAATGCCATCCAGATTATAGACACAATGCACTGGTGCGGGAGAAGTGATATTTGCACAAGTGCACGTACGATTTTTATGAGATTGATTATTTCTATCCCTGTGGGTAATAAATGGTGTTATGTACTGGTTAGAAGGACTTTCTTGGAGGAAATGGGTAGTCCAGGGATTAAGGCGTTTTTAAAGACTTCTTATATTTTCTATGCCAATGAAGCATCCTTTTTTGCTGACCGTCAACATGGTCACTGCTACGACCATTCTTGTAAATCATCATCACCGTGATGAACTGCAATATTGCTGATGCAGTGTTATGCAACACTCACTGGCTCACTCTTCCTCAGGGCTGATAACATCATGCAGGCAGCTGTGATGGTGAAAAACCTGATTCACTTGATTCTCACATGGGTACAATGTTTGAAGCCCTTTTCCAGTGTCCCCTCCCGGGAATTTGCTGGAATATTGCTAAAAGTGGTGTAAAACAATACTCACTCACTCACTCGCTCACTCTGGGAAGAAGAATATCATTATAAGAATCTGGGATATCAACCTGACTTTTTAGGTATTAGAATGTCAGTATTATATCACTGTAGTCTTTACTTATGTCTCTTTTTTTGTCTTTCAGGTTTCACAGAATACCTCCTGTCTGACGAATGTGATATTTTTGACCCAATGCATAAAAAAGTCTGCCATGACATGACACAGCCTCTAAGTCATTATTTTATTGCCAGTTCGCATAACACGTAAGTATTTCTGTCGTGTGGACCAAGACAAACTCTACTGTCCGTCATCTCCATGATTCAGTTATATGTCAGGTGGGGTTTCACCCGCCAGCTTGGTTGCAAGATGATTTACTTAATAACTTGTCTGTGTAAACAGAGATAGGCAGGCCGTGTAGGCAGGGGGTGGCGGGGTAGCCTAGTGGTTCGTCACGCTGAAGGCCTGGGTTGATTCCCCACATGGGTACAATATGTGAAGCCCTTTTCCAGTGTCCCCTACCGGGAATTTGCTGGAATATTGCTAAAAGCGGTGTAAAACAATACTCACTCACTCACTCACTCACTCACTCACTTTCTCACCTGCTCATATTGGCATGCTTATTGGAAGTGGCGACTAATGGGATCAGGTGGTCAGGCTCGCTGACTTGGTTGATACATGTCATCGTATCGCAATTGCATGGATTGATGCTCATGATGTCATCGATTAGTTACAGACTGCCATCATATAGCTGGAATCTTGCTGAGTGCAGCATTCAACAACAAACAAACAAACTCATATAGGCAGGTCATATAGGCTTGTCACTTTGTCTTCACTGAAGTTTTTGTGGACTGACCTAGAACACCATGACCTCCTTGTCCAGCACCTGCTCCAGCTGCCCACCTCGTCATGCAGCAAATGCATGTACACCTGACACAGTATCATAAAAAATGTTGTTTGTTGTTGTTTAACTGCACTCAGCAATATTCCAGCTACATGACAGTGCTCTGTAAATAATCGGGTCCGGATCAGTTAATCCGGTGACTGATGTTGTGAACAACGATCCACTACATCGGGGTACAATGACACGTAAAGTACTAGGTCATCGAATCTGACCACCGATCCAATTGGTGACCTCTTATGACCAGCATAGCTTGCTGGGGACCAGTTCTAACCCATAATCCCTACAGGGATACATTGAAATAATGGTCTTGATTAATGTGATGGTCATGAGTTTAGTTTGTTGGAGAGTTGCGTGTACGCTAGTATCTATGACACACAAGCTGCATTTCACCCAAGATTCGGTCACACTGATCTGTCATCTGTTGCCATTGATAATGTAATGTTTTGTTTGGTAGTAGCTGTGTTTGCACAGAACTAGATGTGGTTGGGTAGCTCAGTGGTTAATGTGTTTACTTGTCTTGCTGAAGAGCACAGATTAATTCCATCCTGTGTGCAGTGTGTGACGTCCATTGTTGGTGTTTCATGTCCGTATGTTGCTGGAATATTTCTACATTTAGTGTGAACCTAACTCACTCCTCCATCAAAGAACAGCCATGTGCTCAGTAGAATGGAACACACACAATGCATACTTTCTGTACTTCTCCCAGATATGACGGAAATACACAATAGCTGTGTTCATGGGTTTCATTCCCCACATGGGTACAATGTGTGAAGCCCATTTCTGGTGTTGTCCGCCGTGATATTACTGGAATATTGCTAAAAGCGGCATAAAACAATACTCATGGGTAAGAGACCTGAATCACTTCACGCTTTCCTCCCACATTAAGCTGACATGTCTGGGACCCCCATTGTCATGTCCGGGACCCCCATTGTCATGTCCGGGACCCCCATTGTTATGTCCAGGACCCCCATTGTTATGTCTGGGACCCCCATTGTCATGTCTGGGACCCCCATTGTCATGTCTGGGACCCCCATTGTCATGCCCGGGACCCCCATTATTATCTGGAACCCCCATTGTTATGTCTTTGACACCCATTGTAATGCCCGGGACCCCCATTGTTATGTCCAGGACCCCCATTGTTATGTCTGGGACCCCCATTGTTATGTCTTTGACCCCCATTGTTATGTCTGGGACCCCCATTGTCATGTCTGGGACCCCCATTGTTATGTCTTTGACACCCATTGTTATGTCTTTGACACCCATTGTTATATCTGGGACCCCCATTGTCATGTCTGGGACCCCAATTGTTATGGCTTTGACCCCCATTGTTATGTCTGGGACCCCCATTGTTATGTCTTTGACACCCATTGTCATGTCTTGGACCCTCCATTGTCATGTCTGGGACCCCCATTGTTATGTCTTTGACCCCCATTGTTATGTCTTTGACAGCCATTGTCATGTCTGGGACCCTCCATTGTTATGTCTGGGACCCCCATTGTTATGTCTTTGACACCCATTGTCATGTCTGGGACCCTCCACTGTTATGTCTGGGACCCCCATTTTTATCTGGGACCCCCATTGTTATGTCTTTGACACCCATTGTCATGTCTGGGACCCTCCATTGTCATGTCTGGGACCCCCATTGTTATGGCTTTGACACCCATTGTCATGTCTGGGACCCTCCATTGTCATGTCTGGGCCCCCATTTTCATGTCAGGGACCCCAGAATATTACTTTGAGTCCCCAGGTCTCACAAACAGACCGACCCAGGTACATCATTGGTAGACATCATTGAGTATGCAATTAATCCTGTTATACATCTGAAGAAAAGCCATTCAGGAGATGAGGCAATATTCCGTGAGCATAATTATACATTATTGATAATTTATAAGTTTTTTAAATCATTGAATGATAAGAAAAGCAAGAAAGTAGATTATGATAAACTGTGATAAGAATTAGTGTACAAAACTTGCCCTATGTTACCCTCCTCTCGAATACAGTGTTTGTGCAGAAGGACGCTGTGCTCATGTTCCGATGTGGAGTCTGTGTGAGGACCAAGTTTGCCCAAGATAATGGAATCAGCAGGCCCTCTATATATTTTATGTTGGGTAAATTCAATCAGACTGCTTGATATTGACTGGTGACTGAAAGGACACCATTGTGTCAAGAAGAATCAATTTTAAAATGTCAACAGTGTTTGGAGATGAAAGGCTTGTCAAATCTGATCTGATTTATCTCTTAGTAGGAATAACGGCGTGAGATCGTGTCCTCTTACCCACCCTTGATCAGGCAGCCTTCATAATGCCTTCAATTATGAAGGCTTAGTGCAGCCAAAGTATTGAATAGATCACTGGGCCTTCATCAGATGGTGCAGTCATTTAAGGAATGGGTTTGGTACATCTGAGTCCTTCAGGATCTGTTGGTTATGAGTTGGAATGACACATTTTCACCATTATGATAATCTGATTAGATTTATATCTTGGTTTGACTACCCCCTCTTAATCAGTCAGCCTTCATTAACCTGGGTTAGAACCAGCCTCGAGCTACCAGTATTTGTACTAGAGAGGCAACTAATGGATGGTGGTCAGGTTCCTTGATGCATGTCATATTATCCACTTTATGTAGATCGATGCTCATGATGTCAATCACCTGATTTTCTGGTCCAGACTATATTATTTACAGACCACCATCATATTGATGGAACTTTGCTGAGTGCAGTGTTAAACAATAAATAAACAAACCAAAGCAGTTTGATACCTGATGTACTGACCGCCTCTATGGTCTGCCTGGAGAACTGAAGGTTGGGATCAGGTCATTCCAAAAGACTTTAAAAGATGGTACTTGTTGTTACCCTGCCAGGCGCTCAGCATTAAGGTGCTAAAACAAGGACTGGTCTGCTTGGAGTCAGCATACTTTGTCTGACTGGGATATCCATGTTATACGGCAGCATGGTATCTCAGTGGGCTAGCACTATAAAACCGGTGTTAGTCCGGACTTGTAAGCACAAGCAGCTACATATACACACATACACAAAAGTGCATGCATGTCGCTGTATAAGTGCAATAATCTTAAACACGATGTAAAACTGCATATCAGCTCACCTGATCAGTACCTAGGGGCTTTCCTCCCACAATGAGCCGTGATGTAACTGCAATATTGTTCAATGTGGCACTTATCCCAATTTACACACTGCAATCCAAACAGGATAATGGGGAATTAGATCCAGCAAACTTACTTGTTAGCTGTGAATGCAGGTGAAGGAGACACTTATAATGAGGAAACGAGGTGTGATGCCCAAGGGTATATCCAACCTTTCATCGCGTGCAAACCACTCACTTCCAAAAGAATGTTGACAGAACTTTGACAAGTCCTCGAGTGAGGATAAGGTGTGTAGTGATGCTCCGCCTCCACAAGTGGTTGTAGGTATTGACTCCCAATCCCATATGTGAGAAGAATTATGCTTTGCTGTTAGTAAAGTGTAATTTATCTCAATATTTGATGCATTTTCAAAAAGCCTTTTATTCTTTGGGTTGAAGTGTACTTCAGCTGATCCAGGTCTGATTCAGTCCTTGGTAATGGGGTTCAACCTATGTTGTTTATTGCACAGATCAGCCTACATGTTGTGAAGAGGGGATTATACATCCTTGGTGTCTGCTATCACTATACAGGGATACTTTGATGGTGTGTTACTTAAATCCCATCATCAATGTTTTCTTACTCATTCACTCAGCCTCATTCACTCAGTTGCCTGACCCAGACTTGATTGTTTCCAAGCTCACCTGACATAGCTGTTACATTGATAAATGCTGAGCAAAAAATGATGCTAAAAAACAAATTATGGTTTTTACCTTTGTTCTTTAAATGTGTCATTTCGGTACAGGTGCTAATATCTTCATCAAGCACTTGTTTCGATACAGATGCTGGTACCTTTATCAAGCACTTGTTTCAGTACAGATGCTGGTACCTTTATCAAGCACTTGTTTCAGTACAGATGCTGGTACCTTCATCAAGCACTTGTTTGGGTTCAGGTGCTGGTACCTTTATCAAGCACTTGTTTGGGTTCAGGTGCTGGTACCTTTATCAAGCACTTGTTTCAGTGCAGATGCTGTTACCTTTATCAAGCACTTGTTTCAGTACAGAATCTGGTACCTTTATCAAGCACTTGTTTGGGTTCAGGTGCTGGTACCTTTATCAAGCACTTGTTTCAGTACAGATGCTGGTACCTTTATCAAGCACTTGTTTGGGTTCAGGTGCTGGTACCTTTATCAAGCACTTGTTTCAGTACAGATGCTGGTACCTTCATCAAGCACTTGTTTCAATACAGATGCTGGTACCTTCATCAAGCACTTGTTTCGGTTCAGG